GCCCGGTCTGCGCGAGGGCGATGGTGGTGGTGGTGGGGGGGAGGAGGCGTAAATCTGAATTACAGAAAAGGCGCTTTTGGGCCGGATAACGGGCCGGGTCTCTAATCGGGTCGGAACGCGGATGTAACGGAGCAAAAACGAGATCAACGCGGGATTTGTCACGGGATGTAACTTTTCAGCTTCCCAGCCTCGTGTGAACCGGGTGGGATTTGCTTTTTAACTGAACGCCGTTTGCGCACGACGCATCCCGGACTGACAGTTCTGCGCGTGGGGCGAGGTTCAGCTTAGGACGGGGTGCCGGCGCGCTCGTCAGCCTAGGGAGGTTGGGGGGGGGAGCCTCTGTCCTCCGTTCCTTGACGTCGAGGAGTAACGACCTGCTGCCTCGAGATTTGTAGATCAATTCTCCTTCGAGCTGTTAAGGCGTGAGGCGGAACGTCTCGAGGCGCGACGTGCCGGGAGGAGATGGGGCTCCCGGGTTCTTGCACGTGGCCTTACACCTCGGAGGGAATTCATTTCGCGCCAGGTAACCTTCCTTCCTTTGCAGGGTTATCTCCCGCCCACAAAAAACGGCGCAGAGCCCAAACGGCCCAGCCGCCCCGTCAACATCACTCCGCTGGCACGGCTTTCGGCGACCGTCCCGAACACCGTCGTGGTGAACTGGTCCTCGGAGTTTGGCAGGGTGAGGGGAGGTGAAAAGCGTTTCCCGCTTGCTGCTCTTCCTTTGCTGACGGTCGTTTGCGGCCTCGGGTCCGCGGGGCGGAACGGGGGTCGTCCTCATGGCGGCGGCGGCAAGCTGTGCGGATCCAGGGGGGGCCCTCTCCTCCCCGGTGGGTTTTTCTAGGTCTGAGCGGTGTCCAACTTCTTTTTCAACAGAACTACTCTCTGTCGGTGTACCTGGTGAAGCAGCTGACCTCGGTGACGCTGCTGCAGAAGCTAAGAGCCAAGGGCATCCGAAATCCGGACCACTCGCGAGCCCTGAGTGAGTACCCCTCGCCAGGGCGGTAACCGCGCGTGATCGGATCCCCGCGCCGAGCGCGGGGAGAGGGAGCGGGTCCGAACGAGCAGGCGAGGGCAGCGCAGGCCTTCGCCCGCGTCCCTTCTCGCGAGCCCCCGCCCGCTCGCCGAGTCCCGTCGGTGAGAACCCGACGGGAAGGGTAAGGACCGTAGAGGTCGCGGGTTATTTTTCGGCGACGCCGTTCAACAGAGCTCTTAAATCGAACCGTTCTTCGGGTGGCTGCCCGTCTCCGCCGCCGCCGCGCTGCCGAAAGATTTCTCCTCCGAGAAGCGGCGGGAGCGGCGGGCTTGCGCTCGGGCTGCGCGCCGTTCCCCTACAGCCGAACGTTTCCCCCCCCGGCGCTGCCGTTTTACGGGCAGGCTGTAGAATCTTTCAAGGCAGGGATCCGTCTCTCTGCGCTGCGTACGTGCTCTGGCCAAGGAGGCTCTTGCCGGAGCGGTTAATGGCAATAACGTCTGCTGTCGTAAGCCTTACCTGCCTGTAATCTGGATATTAAGCGTCACGGTGCAAATTATAAATCATGTCTGTACGTATTTACGCGCGTAAAAGAAGGAGGATGTTGACAGGAGACCTTTTTTCCCCTCCTCTTCTTTCAGTCAAAGAAAAACTAACAGCTGATCCCGACAGTGAGATAGCTACAACCAGCTTACGAGTTTCCCTGATGTGTCCAGTAGGTTTCTACGTTTTTGTTCCTTTTTCTTGGACAGGCCTTTGCGAACAGCTTCCCGCTTCGCCTTACCCCGTCGCGTAGGGAACGCTTCGGAGCGAGACGAGGGCTAACGCTGCTGCAGCCCCCGCTTTTGTTGAAAAGTCGGCTTTCGTTCCGAAGCAAAAGCCAGAACCGCTTTCTGTCATGCGTAGGGGAAAGAAAAAAAAATAAATAAATCGCTGAGGTCGCTGGCCCTAAACTGCCCAGCCAAAAACTGTCTTCTCTTGACCCCGTCCTCGTCTCTCACCTTCGCTAGCGGCATGTGTTTGAGGTGGAAGTGAGCTTAAAAAAGGAGAAACTAAAGGCAAAAAATACCCCCAGGAAAGCTTGTTTTCTCGCGCGCGTTAATTCTTCGTCGGCGGTGCGTTTAACGGCTTTTTAAACGCGCCAGAGCGCTGGGCAGGGGAGAAAAGGGAATGGACGGGGAGCGACGCCCCCGGCTCTACCTGGCGCTGAGAGGGGCGGTTGGTGCAAAACCGACTTCCCTTCTTCCCTCTCGTCCCCTAGCTGGGTAAGATGAGGCTGATCGTGCCCTGCCGAGCCATCACCTGCACCCACCTCCAGTGCTTCGACGCGGCGCTCTATCTGCAAATGAACGAGAAGAAACCCACGTGGACTTGTCCTGTGTGCGATAAGAAAGCCCCGTACGACAACCTGATAATCGACGGGTGAGCCGAGCGGGCTTCCGACACCGACTTTAGCCGGGATAATGTTTTTCTTTTTAAGGCTTATCCTCTTAACGCGGACAAGTTACAGCCTCGAATAGCTTAAAAATCCGATTTCCGTTCCCCGAACCGCTTCGGTGCCGATCTGGAGAGGTTTCTCCCAAAGAAGGAGAAGCCTTTGTCAAAATCCTGGCTTCCTTGCCGGCAGCCTCTGCCCAGGCGGTTAAGGAGGGAACCTGCTCACCCGGGGTTTGAGCGGAGCCCTCCGACGTACCTCGGACAAGCCCGTCACAAAACTAAACTCGCAGGTGATACCGGCGCAGCTTTTTGGAGCCCCTGAGCCCCGTGTCGTTTCTGCCGCCCGTATTTGCGCCCGAGTCCCCGTAGCGTTGGCTCTCCCCAGCTTCTCCTCTCGCCCGGCAGGCTGTTCATGGAAATCCTGAACTCCTGCACCGACTGCGACGAGATACAGTTCGCGGAGGACGGCTCCTGGTGCCCCATGAAGCCGAAGAAGGAGAAGCAGGAGGTGTGCCAGACGCCCGCGTTCAGCGGGATCGAGGGTACGGGAGCTGCGGGCACCGACTCTGGGTGTTTTTGGGTTTTTTTGGACGTCTTGTTTTGCCAAAGCGAAAACGTTGACGTTTACGGGTTTTTACACTTGCAAAGCAACGTTCGGAGCGTTTCGGATCCCGCCTGGGAGCCGGTATCTGGGCTCACGCTGACATACAAGGAGCGTGACAGGTACTTAGCGCGCCGCTGGGGAGCCGGCGCTAGAAAAAGCGGGGGGAAAAAACCGCAGGTTCCTCTTGAAACTGCAGCGTTGATCCCAGGTGGGCTGTGGAGACCTGGGTGTTAGCGTGGGGATGATGCCCCTCTTCTGGGATGGGGGGGGGGGGGGGGGGGTCGTGTGGGGGGAGTTCTGTAGTATTTTCCTCTGTAAAGTAGTAACATCACAGTAAATGTTCATATTAACGCAGTGTTCCTGGACGTCTGTGGGCTGACATTTGTCATTATGACTGCCAAGTGCCAAGAAGCAGTGCCCGGCGCGGCTCTT